AGATTTGCTTGGATGATGCCTAAATAATCAGGCATATTGAATTGAGAATGGACATGATGGTAGAAATATGGAAATAATGTGCTTTCTTGATCTGCAACAGGGAGTCTGTCCATCATAAAATGGGAAACCAGATCTGAATCTTAAACAGCTTTTTCTAATGCCAGCAGGAGACAGATCACAACCCAGAAGGTATGGGCAACTTCCCAGCCTGGCTCTGGTTACGTTTTCTTACCTGACTGGACAGGTAAAAAGCATTTCCAGGGCTCTGCTTTCAGTGACTGTAAATAATAGAAAATATATGAGGCAATAGTTCACACTAGACAAATGGGCTCAGCCTGCAAGAATAAGTATTTGCACTGAGTCCAAAAGGATTAATTATTTGTCTTCTGGAAATTCTTCCTCACCATCTGAAAAATCTTTTAGCTCTAAAAATCATGAGACTCTAAAAATAAAAGTCCTTAGAGAACTTGTCCCCTGGTGTTGAGAATTATTCAGAGAGTAATCGAGGAGCTGCCTTATGAAATCACTATTTTTCTGTTGCATTTCCTATTGTCTAATTATGATTAATCTTTAATTGAGAACAATGGGTAACCTAAGTCTCCATTGCCTAATAAGTTTTCTTAGCCAAACTTCCCTTCATTTCCTCAAATAGAGGTGGGGCTTCATTGTGTGTTCCTGAGGGCTCCCTGGAAAAACACTCTGGAATTTAAAGTGAAAAGAAAGTTGGAGATGAAAATTAATCAGTTATTCATGTCACACAGACAGTACAGAAAAGTCATCCTTTTATATTCTACTCATTTATTTCTACAATATCAATGAGAGATAAAGAAAGCAATTTGCTTTTGTTGCTTTTAAACTGACTCTTCACTGTTATAACAACACTAAATTATTTACTCTAATTTTGAGATGCCAGAGCTTACGTGTTGAGGGACACGATGTTTGATTTTACAATGTGTCCCTTACTTCTTGCTGTAGCTTTTATTTATTTTTTTAAATCAGTATGTTAATACAAGGGATAGATATGCATGGTCAGCAATTAATGGAAGGATTCTAAGAAGAGATAAAAATTTATGCATTTTGCCCATTTTTATTGCATTTTCCTTCTTGTTCCTGTGTGTTTCGTTGTACTGTCACACATTAACCAGTCCTCATTATTTTATAAGAAGAAAATAAATGCAAATAACATTCACCTCAGGTTTCTTATGTGTTAGTCATTGTGGTGAGTTACTAACATGCATTCCTCCATTTAATTCTCAGGGAAACCTAATGAAAAACACTAAAATCATCCCCCATGTTACCTACCATAAGGAAATAAGGGTTGGAGGATTTGTGCAAACTGTCCGTTCTCTTGCAAAGGATTCATGAAACAAGGACTGACACGGAGGCTGTTCAGTTCTAGAAAACACTGCGGTGTGATCCCTGTTCTTTCCATATCACCCACTTAAAGAATCCCTTCTTGTCTTTATTTAGTGAATACTCATCAATATTTGTCACTTATAAAGGCATACCCACCAGAATAACACCTGGCTATTCAATAGTAACCATTAAATCCAAAAGATGTTGGAAAGATGCATTCCAAGTTCTGAAAGATCACAACTGTCAACTTAGATTGTTGTATACCCAGAAAAACTATCTATTAAGATTGAAGGAAAAATGAAAACTTTCCATGGGGGGGGCAGGGGAGAGAAATAAATTGAAGGAATTTGAGACCACTACACCTGCTCTATAGAGGATTCTGGAGGGAATACTTCTGTCTGAAGAGGATCCACACAGCCAAGAGACAACAGGAAATAATGCCAGAATAGTTCATGAAAAGAAATCTGAGAAAACACCACAGAATCAACAAAATAACAAGAATTTGTATCTTTCAGAACAACATTAATATCCAAGTGCCTTCTCTTTGCCTCCAGTGTGTGTTCTTGTTCCTGTGCTTATTTGAATAAGAATGCCCCCCCATAGATTCATATCTTTGAATGCCCAGTTGAGGAAAGATTAGGAGGTATGACTTTGTTAGAGGGGGTATGTCACTGGGAGATTGGCTTTGAGGTTTCAAAAGCCCACTTGGGGGCCCAGTCTCACTCTCTCTGCCTGCCGCCTGTGGAACAGGATGTAACCTCTCAGTTCCTGCTCCAGTGTTGTGCCTGGTTGCCTGTTGTCATACTCTGAATCACGATGACCATGGACTCACTCTCTGAAACTGTAAGCTATGCTTCAGCTAGATGTCTCCTTGGTCATAGCATTTTATCACAGCAACAGAACAGTAACTAAGACACTTCACTGACAAGGGACCCAACCTCAACATGCCAGGTACTGAATAGTAGGCACAGAGTCTGTGCAAGTGCATACACACTCAGGAGATTTTTCTGAGGGCCAAATAGCAATTCTTCATTTTACTTTTCTCTTTCTGCTTGTTCCTACTATTTTTTTTTTTTTGGTCCTGTTCTTCTACCCTGATGTTTCCGTTGTCTTCCTTCTATATCTGCCCTGATGTTTTCCTTCTACCTCTCTTATTTTTATACCTCCTAAGACAAAAATTTCTACACAAGAAAAGATTACCTCACAGCAAATTATATATTTTCCCAAAACAAATTAAAATCTTTACACAGGAAGAAATCATATTATTGTTGTGCCCAAATTCTGAACCCCAAAATCACCAAGATACCTATTCTTCTGTAAAAGCAGTGAGTCTTTTATTGTTGTTTAATGAGCTAACTGCATTAACTCGGGCCCTTTGTCCATTCATCCCAGTGGATGGCATGAGAAGGACCCCGAGAAACCATGAAGCTGGGGGCAGGAGGACTTATTGGACAGTGTAAGGGGAGTGTCTAGGGGTATGCAACAGTCTCAGGATTGGTGCACTTCCAGGCTTGGGCGACCTGTCCTGTGTTGATTGGTCAACTGGTTGTTATGACCTATAGGCCCTCCCAGGGTGGTTGCTATGCTCTGTATGTCACTGTTACCCCACTTTTACCGTAATGTCATGTCAGCTAACTTCTGATTGGTTCTTTGCCACATGGAAGGTATTTGACCTATGGCAGCTCCTGCAAGGTCAGAAGGCTGGAAACTAAGCATATGTGCTGAGTCAGAGGCCTTTGTCTTTCTAGGTCTTTTCTGCAGCCTTTCATGGCTGCTAAAGCAGGGGGCTAGGTGAGGGTCTGGTCCCTTCAATTGTGATCATGTTACATGTTTTTTCTTAGAAGCCTATTATCCTCTGTCATATACCAGGCACCCAGAGCCCTCTTTTAAAAGATGTAATAGATGTATCAGAGTTCTGGGCACTGTTCCTTTCTGGAATATAACAAGAAGAATCTGGCCACAGCCTACAGAATATATACAGGAAGGATTATGAGTACCCAAGCTTCCCGGTGAGTTCCCAAGTACGGAAAGGGTCTCAGGGACCAGCTTCCACCATGTTCTCTGGAAGTCTGTGAGTACCTCCTTCTCTACTACCCTGTGGGGTGGAGGTACAAGGAAAGAGGTACAAGATGACTGGCAGCCCCACTGCAGATCTGTCCTCATCAAGGGCCTTCTTCTCAGTCTTCTCACTACTATGAAACAGGAGTCCATGTCCATAAATGTCAGGATGACACATTTACTCAGCATTCTATCATGTACTCTGCAGTCAAGTGTTGGCAGGTAAGGTCCCAGGCTGAATGAGCACCTGTGTGTGATGTTAGTTGATAGTCTGTGCTGATAATCATTTTGAAAATTACATTCCTGACACTAATATTAAAATCCTGAAAGATCAGAATCTCTAAGGTCTAAAGCTTCCCAAAAGATGAAAATTCCAAATATTGAAATTCTGACCACTGAAATTCCAGCAACTGTAGTTACTTAGAGTGGGGCTGGGGGAGTCCATAAGAAGGGCAGAAACTATGGGGAAACCTTTGTCCAGGCAGTACAATAAAGATAAAAACTAATTTAAAAATACATCCTTGGCCTGCACTGTATCTCTTCCAGCTGAGTAAACTCCAGTTTTTAGTTAAAGTTTCATTGTTTTTCCCCCAAGTCTTTGAGCAAGTTTGGGATATTCTTGTTGTAGCCTTTCTAAACTATGTTTGGCTGCCACCCAAACTCCAGAAAACCTGGGCTCCAAATGCCACAGGACTTACCCACCCTAGACTGCCTGACTTTGCCTTCAGGCTGTACCTGCCACATGTTTTTTCCACACAATCCCGAGTGTGGCTTTTCAGAAAGCAGGTTCTCTCTCTCTCTCTCTCTCTCTCTCTCTCTCTCTCTCTCCCTACCCCTCTCTCTTTGGATTGTGGGTTTTCCCTACAGCCCCTCTCCTCGAGCTGCCACTCTCAGCTCAGGGACATACAATAGTTCCCTAATCAGACGTGCTATACATCACAGTGCTCTGCCACCCTGAGCTTGAACCAGTCTAAAAGAGAGACAGAGATCACACAAAGGTGATCTCAGCACATGGGATTTCATGTCTTTAATCCCAGCACTAAAAAGGAGTATAAGGCAGGAGGAGACAGAAGCTGATTGCATTCAGAGGGAGTCTGAGTTTTGGTGGAGAGCAGTGCAGTCTGAGGTTGGGTGAATCCCTTCAGTCTGAGCATTTGTAGAGGTGAGAACTTTCTAGTAATCAGCCGCTTTGCTTCACTGATCTTCACTTTAACCCCATATCTGTCTCTGGGTTTTTAATCATTCATGCTACATGTGTATCCTTTCTTTACATTTTAAATCATATTACAAATTAAATTTGTTCTTTGATAATTTCATGTATGTGTATAATGTATTCTAATTATTCTCATTTTATTTAATTTTTTTCATTTTACATAACAACCCCAGTTCTCTCTCCTTCCCTTTCTCCCACCCCCACCTCCATCCCTGTGATCTAAGGAGGGCAGTGAAGATTTTTCTATTGGACTTTCAGGGTCTTGATTGAAAAATATCCTACAATGAGTACTTTGCTCTTTCCCAGAATTTCCCTTTAGGTCTTCTGAATTATGCCCAGGGGGAAGATAACAGTTTAACTAGTTGAACAATTTTCACATGTCAGTTGCTTTGCAGTAGAGAAGCCTTCTTAATGCCTGATGCACCTCCTGATTCCTCAAGGTATAGATGACAGGGTTGAAAATGGGCGTGACCACTGTGTAGAGCAGGGCAACAACCTTGGAGAGGAGTTGAGAATGGACAGCAGAGGGCGCAATGTACAAGACCATGAGTGTTCCATAGAATGTGGACACCACAGCCAGGTGAGAGGAGCATGTGGAGAAAGCCTTTGTTCTTCTGGACCCAGAGGGAACTCTCAGCACAGTCATCACAATCTGAGCATAGGAGACCAGAACCAGCCCAAAAGGGACAGTCAGGAAGACAACAGAGAGAACAAATGTAGTCACCTGGGCCACTCCAGTATCTGAGCAGGCCAGGACCATCAAAGGTGAGAAATCACAGTAAAAGTGGTCAATTTGGTTGGGGCCACAGAATCTCAGCTGGGCCATCAGAGCAACAACTAGTCCATCTACCATGAAGCCAGACAGCCAGACTGTGAGCACCAACCCCAGACACCATCGAGGTCCCATCAGGAGTGGGTATCGTAGGGGATGACAGATTGCTAGGTAGCGATCATATGCCATCACAGCCAAAAGACAACACTCATCTGTAGCTAGAGAGCCAAAGATGAAGAACTGAAACAAGCAGCCAGCCATAGAGATGGCAGACTCCTGTAGGAAGCCCTCCAACATTTTGGGCACCACTGTGGAGGTATAGAGTATCTCAATGAAGGACAGGTTCATCAGAAAAAAATACATGGGTGAGTGAAGCCTCTGGGAGCTGACCACCACCACTACAATGAGCATGTTCCCTGTGATGATGGAGGCATAGATCATGGTGAGAACAGAAAAGAACAGGAGGTGTAGTCCAGGGACTTCATGGAAGCCAAGAAGTACAAACTCGGTGACAGTTTGGTTTCCTATGGAGATACTTCCCATGGATCATTCAGTTTTCAGTTTTCTTCTTGGCTTGACAGTAACTAGAGAAAATTTAGTGTATCTCTGTTGTCTGCTGGAACTCTAAGACTGACAGGGCTAAAACAAGATGACAGAGTATACAAAATGAGAATGGATTAAGCTAGTCTTCATCTTTCCCTTCTTTACGTATTACCACTTTGGCTTGTCCTTTCCCATGTTCTTTAGTGTAACATATTCCTAATGGCTTAGGAGAGCTCACCCATACTCAAATTTTCAACAAAAACCAAAACTTTGTGTAGTGACCACCATGAGTGTCCCTTGACAACAAATTTTCACTTTCAAAACCACAGCCAATACTGCTACAAAAGAATTTAATATTGTGCTGGAATCCCATGGTAAAGGTTAGGGTTAGCTTTAGCTTAATAGTCTCTCTGCTGTCCATCACGTAGTCACTTAAGTCTCATCAATTCCTTTAACTTCTTATCATTTCTTCGTCTATATTCGTGTATATAATTGCCCCACTAGGCAGCCTTCTTGTCTCTATGTTTTAGAATCTTTTATCAAAATAACCTGAAAGTTCAGATTATTTAGTTAACTGGAGATTTTGGTTAAGGTGTGATAAATGATGGTGAGAGAGAAGTGTAGGAGCTGTGGGAACAGAAGGAAAAGAAATCCAGATTCAGATTGTAGGGTAGAGGGTGTGGGAATAAAGTTCAGGGAAGCTTCCCGAAGACAGTAGCTTTTAACTTACTATCTTATAGGATACTGCCCTATATTAAGCTAAGTTTTGAAGGCCAGATAACAGTGGGCCAGCCAGAAGACAGTGCACTGGGCAGTGTGCAATGTGTAGATGCAGAGGCTTGATGGAGCACAGTGATTCTGAACAGCTGAAGTGATCCTTGTATAGCAGGTAGGATTTCTTCAAATGCTGACCAAGTGATGTCTGGTTTTTTATTACAGAGAGAATATGTAGGATGGTCTGGAGTAAAGGAGAATGGTTGAGGAGAAAGCAAGAATAAGTCACACACATACTCTCATAAATTTTAAAGTGTTTATTACTACTCCATTGTAGTAATAAAGGTACATATCATTTATAACATGAAATTCAAGGTGTCTAATACAAGTGCCCTACAACAGCTGCCTAAGAAGGTGAAACAGAATGACTCAGGACCAAGAAGCTCAGCAGACTGCATGCCATTTATGACTTCACCACAGGCCAAATCTGTGAATTTCATGGAAGTACATTTTCTATTCCTGTGTAGCTAGTGCTACGTCCTCAGAGATAGAGAGGTACAGTTTAAGTTGCATTACTTCCCCGGGGTCTGCTTGACTAACCACTTTTCTTTCTTTAGCAATCGTGCACTGAGTATGTAGAGGATGTTATTTTAAACCTTGAGGATTCCCAGTCAAATAAAAACAGGCCATTACCTTAAGGAGCCTTGTGTAATAGATGCACACAGCAGCACATAATTGCAGCACACTGAGAGGAAGTTGGTGAATTAAACCTGAATGAAATAGTTCTCGGAGAAGTGGTGCTGAGTAGCCTGCTATAGCTGTGGGGAATGTAAAGGAAGAAGAGGATATTCTAGATAGGACACTGAAACAAGAAATGTCACAGTCAGAGATCTACCAGAAACACCTGTGGTACGTACTACAGGTGTGTACATACGTACGTGAGCATATGGGATTTGTTTTGGGGTCAGAAACAGGCTTGCTCTCTCTCAAGGTTCCGGTTGGGTCATGGAGAGCAGCAGGGCATTGATCCTGGGTTATCTGTTTCTCATGAAAGTGATTTCTCCCTGAATAAAATTAACCTATATCATCCTAGTCCTGTGTATCTTAATTTGAACAACCACATATGAGGGTACAAAAAAGGCTGCAGAGCTAAGTAGGCAAAGGTGATAAAGAAGGAGCATCAAGAACAGTGGTTCTCAACCTTTGGGTCATGTCCCCTTTGGGGGTCAAGCAACCCTTTCACAGGGGGTCACATATCAGATGTCCTGCATATCACACATTTACATTAAGATTCATAAAAGTAGCAAAATTACAGTTATGAAGAAGCAACAAAAATAATTTTACCGTTGGGGGTCACAACATCATGAGGAACTGTAATAAAGGGTCACAGCATTAGGAAGGTTGAGAACATCTGATCCAAGAAGCAAATGAGTAACACGGATAGGAGGCCAGCAATGGAACATGACCCCCTCTGCTGGTCACAAACTGTATCTACAACTTTGTCCTGTTAACCTCAAAGCCTGATTGAGGGCTTTTGGACAGCAGAGTGGCATGGTGGCATGGTCCAGATGAAACTAGACAGCATTAGGAAGGTCCAGATCCAAGACAAAGAGGAGGGAGAGAGAGAGAGAGAGAGAGAGAGAGAGAGAGAGAGAGGAGAGAGAGGATCCAAGATAAAGAGAACTGAGAGACAGAGACAGAGACAGAGACAGAGACCAAGCCCAGATCCAAGATAAAGAGAATTGAGAGACAAAGACAGACACAGACCCCAGATCCAAATAAAGTAAATTGAGACAGACAGACAGACAGACAGACAGACACACACACACACACACAAGAGAGAGAGAGAGAGAGAGAGAGAGAGAGAGAGCTCACACAGATGATAGTGAAATGTAAAGACACAGTCTCAGTCTTGGGTTTTATCTTTATAATTTCCATTCTCCCAAAAGCAAGTTCATTCAGCACAGACTTCTCTGGAATTTTCTGTGTAAACAAGGCTGGCCTCTGCCTCCCAAGTGCTGGGATTAAAAGCATGCATCCCCACACCCTATAGGAGATAGTTTCAGTCTACTATAGTGAACAACAAAGTCTTACAGCAAATACCTAATATGTAAAACTACTTCTCCTCTAACCTGAATCTGTGGCTTCACCAGACTGGGGCGATGCTGCCATCTCCAGCTCATTACCCCAGTATCCTTCCTGCCCACTTCCCCATTTGCAGTTCTGTGTGGCATGATCTGTGCACTCTACACTTTGTATTCTCTCTACACTGTCCCTGAGCAAGACACAGGTACTAACCAGCCCAGACAACCTCCAGAGATCCTGGTCTTTAATGTGTTTAAAAGTTCCCCACCTGAAGTCTACTTTCATATAAGAAAGAAATATCATTAGGATTTTTCAGAACATGACATAACCAATCCTGTTGTCCTGAGAGTGACAGGGGAGTGGTGAGATTTGAGACCTTCAGAAAAGTGGGGAAGACATAGCAGAGGCAAGGTGAATGAGAGAAGATGAGAAATGGTTTATCATAGGCTTAAGTAGACATTGAAGAATTTGCAGTTGCAAAACCCCCAGAATGGGAGGATGGCTGACTTTGAAGTTGGAAAATATACGCAGGATAATTTTGGAATCAAGATTACTTTGATCATATTAACTTGTTAGAAATGAGAATATTGAAAAATACTTATTTGTCTAATGAGCAATGACTCCCAGATGACCCTGGGTTAGAGTGCAGTTCTCATCCAACCCAGACTCTGAGACAGCAGCTAGCCCTCAGCTAAAACCACCACCACTTCTAGCAAAACAATTCAAATAAAATTCAAGAACACACATTTAAAGGAATATATGCTGAATTATGATTTGTAACTTATCTTTAAAATAAGAAAATTTCGCTCTCTTATGTTCTCTGTGATATCTGCTGAGCATTTTATTTTTATGCGTGCCAAACAATAAATAAATTTCAAAAGCTTTAAAATAAAATCATATAATTTTAAGTTTATCCAAGTTTTCCCATAACATGAAAATGAAAGTGAGAACATTTTCTGTGTGTCCATCTTAACACACTAACCAGAACCTGGGGGGCAGGAGTGCCTACTCCCTTCTCTAAATAAACCCAAATACAGGGGAAGGACTGGAGTCATCTTGTAAGGATCCAATGAAGGAAACAGCAACACCTTGAAGGAATCAAAAGGCCACAAAGAGGCTTTTGGTCTTTCTAGGTTAATGAAAATCTATGACTAATTAGAGGGGAAAGGATGTCAAAACCAACCTTGGAGTTTTTTAAAGGGTCTATGAACTAAGCTGTGAAACTTTATACAGAAACAGGAGTTCACCTGGGAACTGAAGAAAAGAAGATAAGCTACGGTTTCCTGAAGACTTCAGAATGGCCGGATTTCCCAACTTCAGATCCTTCATTTTTTTAGCTCAACTTGAAATAATACAGGGTCTTGATAAGAAACATCTCTCTTGCCACCCTCCATCTCTGAGCTGTTCTTTGTAATCTCCATGCCCTCTTCTAGCTCCCAATCCATCCTGCCCTTTCATCGTGAGCACTTTTATCGCAAGGGAAGGCTGGTAGAAGAGGCCCTTGAGAACAAATTATAGATTTACTGCAGAGCAACCTTAAATGAACAAGATGAAGCATCCCACTGAGGCATTATTATTTATCATCACCATCATCATTATTATTTATTTATTAATTAGAGAATTCTTGAATGTTGGCTTGACCAAAACTGGACCAGAAACTGAAAGAACTGTAGGAAACCTCTCTTTCCATCCCCTTAAGGAAAAATGCTCTCCACTCCCCAAGGCATCTCACCACCAACTCCCAGTCTCTTTCCAGTAGCTCAACAACAAATTCACCTGACTTTGTAGTACCCTAACTGGCAGATACATGGCAAAGGCATATTGCAATGGGAGACATGAATGGAAATGTCATAATCTAGAAAAAGCTAACAAAGACATCAAATGTTATATAGCTTATATAGGCAAGGCAGCCCAAACAGGAACTCCCAAAGTCAGGGCTGGGGAAGGGTTTTGTTTTTGTCTTTCCAGGAGAATAAAAGCATCCAACTAAAGAATCCAGAGACCACTGGACAAGTGAAACATCTGAAGAAAAAGGACAATCGTTAAAAGCAAATATCCCAAGACAAAGGGCAAATCGGCCAAGTGGTATCACCCACCTCCAACAGACTGGCCTGAGATCCCAGCTCAGAGCCCCAGACTAGGACCAGCACCTATGCCACCATCTTTGCCTGAATGGCTGCCCCTTCCCACCAGATAACCAT